ACATAATTGTGCTGCATTGTCCAGAACGATGTTTAGTTCGTCCTGGCCGATGTTTTAAAATAAAGAATACCGAAATTGATCATGGCGGCTGATTCTTTCTGATTTGAGCCTATCGTCCTGACCAATATAAGGATCGTCCAGGATGATTTGCTTAATGACGGCTGCTTAACCAGGATGCCCTAATTACTCAAAACAGAAAAAACTCAAAAAATCCCTCAAGTGCGTGTCTGCAAGGTTACTTAGCATTAGGAACCACTTTTACAATTGACTCAAGAATGGAAAAGATACAGACTTGACTCAACCTAAATCTACCCAATCTTGAGCAAGTTGCATTCGATCTTGTGGACATGAAAAGTTAGTAGGCAAGGCAGTCGTAGAAAATCATGAATATTTGTTATCATCAAAACTTTAATCCATAAACTCAGATTTGCAATAACTTTCACCTTTCCGGCTTGGTGGAGTACCAACCGCTATGTCACCCTCCCAGTGACAGCAATGAACATTCTCATTTTTCTCCCTCCTGGAGAAGGCAGAGTACCTTAGAGGACACATACCTTGAAAGATCTCCCCCTTAGAAAGCTTCCCACAAGATCTTCTCGGACCACAGGAGGAACAAGCGTGCAGCAGGCTAAGAGCAACTGTGTGATCTCCCTCATACTCCTTCTCACTCACAAACTCACATTCTCCTTCCTCTCACAAACCCAAAGTCTTTTCAAATAGCTATCTCTCAAGAAGTCCCCTTCTTGTCTCATTCCTCTCTCATTGCTTCTTTCAAAAGATAGAAGATTCATATATAAATCAGACTCCAAGAAACTATAAATTTTCAATTTAGCCATTTATGTTCGTACAGTAAGATCCAAGAACATACATTACGATCAGTTCAAAATAGACTTTGTCTTGATACATAGGAGTACAAACAAGCAATTTTTTTTAACAACATCATACATTACAACACAACATCATCCAATACGATATGTTATTTTTCTTCTATTCATACAGGATGAATGCTGGGATGACCAAAACTCATCTCTGTTCATCATTCGATATGATCCAATTCATACTGTATGATATGATAAAAGCTTTATATCGTCCGGTACGATCTTAACATCATCTAGTACAATTAGTTCAAAAATTAAGGGATCATCCGGTACGATGCTCGGGACGATCGAAAAGAGTATCGGTTGATCGTACAGTATGAACTATATTATACAGTACGACAACTAATCAAAAATTAATCCTTGATTTACTGACTAATCACAAGGGTTAATTTAAGTAAGTATTCAAATTTTGTATTGTACGAATTGATCGTGCAGTACGATCATTTCAAAATTTTTATTTAAGAACTTACTTAAATTAATCTAGTTGCTAAGATTTTTAATTTAAAACACATCGTATAATATGATCCTTATCATATAGTATAATTTATTCACATATAGCCATTGAGCCGTAGCAGGTCATATAGTATGATTTAATATCGTACAATACGATCTACAAAGAGTTTAAAAAAAGTTCACTTAAAAGAAAGCTCTCCCCTTGTCTATGTGCATGGTTGCTCAGTTTGCATACACTTTGTGGCTAGACTTAAGAAAAAAAATAAAATAAATGAAAATTGCAGCCTTATAGACTTCACATCCTACTCTACCCAGTCTTGAGTCTTCTTATTATCTTGAGTAATATGCGATCTCCCTAAAATGTTAGTACTCACAGATAAGAGCAAAATTCAAAATATTTAATAAATAAAGAAGTGATTCAAATCAACATTATTTGTCATTATCAAAATCTCAAGCTAGGGGTCATGGATTGTAACACATGCCACTCCATAAATCTATAAATAGACCCCTCCTTTCTTTTGAAAAGGGAGTTCCAAACAAGAGAGAAAGAGAGAGATTGAATATCACTCTTGCCTCCTCGCTCCTCCTCGACCACCGCCTGATGTCGTTGCTTCGCTGGACCACCACTTGAGGCTCTCAATTTTTCCAGACCACTACTTGAGGCCCTCGCCTTCGTCGGACCACCACTTGAGGCCCTCATCTTCTCCGAACCACCACTTGAGGCCCTCACCTTTGCCGGACCACTACTTGAGGCCCTCACATTCACCGGACCACTACATGAGGCCCTCACCTTCATCGGACCACTACTTGAGTCCCTCACCTTCACTGGATTACCACTTGAGGTCTTAAATTCTATTAGACTACTACTTGAGGCCCTCACCATCTATCGGACCACCACCTGAGGCCCGGACTTCTGCCAGACCACTACTTGAGGCCCTCACCTTTGTCGGACCACCACTTGAGGCTCGGACTTCTACCAAACCACTACTTGAGTTCCTCACCTTCGCTGAACCATCACATGAGGCCCGGACTTTTATCGGACACCAACTCAGGCCCAAACTTTTGTCGTACTACTACTTGAGGCCCGCACTTCTGTCGGACCACCACCAGAGATCCAAACTTCTACTAGACCACCACATGAGGACCAAACTTCTATCGGACCACCACCTAAGGTCCAGTCTTCTACCAGAACACCACATGAGGCCCGAACTTCTCATAGACCACCATCTGATGCCTGAATTTCCACCAAACCACAACTTGAGGCCCAAACTTCCACTGGACCACACCACCTGAGGCTCAGACTTCTATCGAATCACAACATGAGGCTCAAACTTCTATCGGACCACCACCTGAGACCCAGACTTCTATCAGATCACCACCTGATGCCCGAACTTCTTTTAGGCCACCACCTAATTCTAAGAGTTCTACCTCATACTACTATAATCTTTTTTTTTCCCTAGTCTTCTATGAACTACGATCTTTCGGACCCCTATCTCATGTTGACTATGGCCCTTCCAACCAAACAAATATATCAATGTTGATTATTGTAACTCTCATAATGTAATTCATTTTATATGACATATATTTGTGACAAAAGGCTAAGGCCTTCTCCCAAGGTAGGGCCTCATTTATAATCGACTGTAAATACTAGTAGATTCATTCAAACTGGGCTAGGACCCATTATTTTCTGCTTTTTCATGGGTTTTCATATAAAAACTTTGGTATCTCTTATGAACACTACATTCTCTCTCTTATATTCTTGTATGCTAGATCTTTGTACAACGCTAAGACATTAAATTATATATTTATATATCGTTGAGAATATTCAATGATCCAATAGTTTGGCGTCGTTTATGGGAACCTAGTTCTCGATTAGGGGCAATTTTTGCTTCAACCTCGAAAGGTCAATCATGTCAACTTCCTGACCTTATCTATTACTGCATCAATTTTATAAGAATTAGAGACGGATTGGGGGGCAACTTTGACTCCAACTGCGATTAAGAAGACCCCTCTAATGCTTTCAACATCAAGATAATATTTCAGAAAAATCTCAATAAATGCAAGGATACTTCCAATCAAATTTAAGCTGTATATAATCCCTTGTTGAACATTTACTCCTTAGGCAAGGTCTTAATATTGACCTCAAAAAGGTAGTAACAGTCTAAAGATAGATCATTCTTCACTCTTGATTCTTAAGGCCTCTAAATGTCCAACGAACGGTGTACAATCGAAGGGTTCAATATCGGCCGTCCATTCAAACCACTCCATATTCGCTCATGATCTCACACCTATTTACAAGCCATGCCACTCCAAAAAAACTATAAATAGAGCCCTCATTCTTCACAAAGGGGGACTGAAGTGAAGAGAGAGAAGAAAAAGAGAAGGAGGAGAAGGAATAAGCTCCTCCTCGACCATCGTCGGAGCTCTTCCCACCGCCTGAAGACGCCGGAACTCTGTCGGATTTTTGAGAAACGCAGGGAATTTACAGAACTTTGTAAACTTGCTTGAAGAAGCAAATTGTTATCTGATTGCCTCGACTTGTGGGAGGAATCATCCATTTGTAATTTGCAAAACACTAGTGGAATTTTCAACTGGGTGAAACCCCGTGGTTTTTTCCCTTTTTTGAGTTTTCCACGTAAAAATCTTGGTGTTTATTTCTCTTTTCTGTTTGTGTGCTGAATACTCGTACCCGCTTGACGCAAATTTACAAACTCTACCACCACGTATATTCTAGCACGCAACAATCATCATTTACCAAATTTATACTAATCAAGCATTCTCAATTTTCCCACAACTCTCATCCGCAAATATATATATATATATATATATATATATATATATATATATATATATATATATATAATTATATATTATATATAAAATTTCTAAGTAGTATAGGATTAACTAATTAAATTAAAATTCTTATGTTTATAACATATAACTTATTTTGAATAATTTTATTATATGAATATATTTATTTTTTTAGCTAATATTATTTAATTTTTTTTATCTATTTAATTTTTAATATATTTAAATATACATTATAAATAATTAATTTATATATTTAATTATGCACTATATATATAGCTTTATTAACCCTGGCAAGCTTAATGATCCCATAAATGTTGAAAAAATGGCTAGAAAATACTTAATAAAGGCTTAATATCTTTTCATAATTGATAGTCTTTCCATTCTTTGTTCTTCTCTTAATGAATGTGGCTGGTAGAAATGGTACATATTTTGGCATCTCTAATGGTAATTTATTTATATTAATGTTAGCTTCATTTTCGATAGTTTCTTTAAGGTTATCAGGAAGATTCAGGTTAAGTTTGTTCTGACTTTTTTATGCTTCATTTTTTGTGTTCTATAGGCTAAATAAAATCACTGACTGATTTACACAACGAAAAATAGTATTAGTACTGAAAAGATAAATAAACCAATAAAATTAGTATTAAATAATTAAATAGGAGTAAAATGAACCAATGCCAATAAACAATATAAGCAATGAAGAAATAGAACAACAATTTTGAAAGTTGACACCAAATAAATGAGATATGACTACTAAATAATGACAATAACAATTGAATAAACGTCTATTAATGTGTTAATTTCATTAAAACCAGAGGGAAAGGTTTCATTTGTTTATATTCCTTCATTATCAAACGAAAGAGTCAACAATAGATATATTCTTTTTAAAGAAAATAGCGTGACAATTATTATAGATTTTTCTTCAAATTTCAGCTAAAACTGCAATATAGCCATTTAGTTTGGCGCAACAAAGATAACAGGAGCAAAACACAAGCTCGTCAGACCATTCAACATGAAAAAATGAGTGATTCAGATTTTATTTTGCGACACTTTTTTTATTGCTTCTTAAAATAAATTTTTGTACTAAAAATTTGATTTAAGAAACAATAAAAAAGCTGTCGTAAATAAAACCTCATACTCATCATCGAGATGGAACACTAAAAGTAGAAATTCCAAAATAAAAAAAAATTCCATAGCAAAAGTATATCTCCAGTTGAGGTAGCAAACAATAAGAAAACCGTCCCAAGAAATTATCCTAATTCAAAACAAGTGAAGACCAATCTCCATAGTGGATGTATCAATGATCGCCAGGTATGGACTTGATTATATCAGAGTCGCCTGAAAAAGAGATCGCTCTCAGAAGCCAATACATAAAAATGGAAGCTTTGTAAAGCACAATGGTATTTTCTCAAACAGACCTGGGTCAATTATGCTGAGGCAGCACACTCGGAAATATTTACCGCAAGCAGTTCCAAGATCAACATTATCTACAATCAATGAAAAATGAACCAGAACAAGGTACAACATAAGCGTTCCGTTAGACAAACCAAAAGCTACAGATTGTAATCCAAATCAACAAAGAAACTAACAAATTACCCAAATCTGTACTGACGTGCAATTTAAGGGATGTTTATAGGGAAACAATCAAACGTGCCGAAAGGCAAATTTAGACATCAAGGAAAAACCTTGTATGCCTACTGAAATCTGATAAAAAATCTTTTTGGTATTAAAAATAAGCAAAAGTTATTTAATGAAGCACATTTCCTATTAATCTCAGGCCTTTTTAACCCCATTGCAATCACAAGCATCGTGGATGAGCGAACCAAACACAGCAAAAGCCAGTAAAAAACAAACTCACACATTATTAATGAGCTCACCCATGCTTGATTTCAAGCCTTCATATTCATATTTTCACTTCACTTAATGTTTTCAATTCATCCTATTTTACTTTTAAGAATTCTTATTCAACAGTTCACAACAATTTTTCTCTTCTTTAAGTACACTTACCAATAACTCGTGAGTACAACTTTTTAAATTGATCACTAGTTGATAATAATTTTCTTATTAATAGTTCACTTATTGCATAGGTTATTTCATAAAAATTAATTGTCCGAAGGTTGCTAAATATCAAAATACTACGGAATTTTCTGTGTAATATACGTGTTTCAATTTTCTGAAAGACAAGCTTTGTTTGCAATTCGCATGTCGAAACAAATAAAACCCTTTATACATCACACTGAGCTCCGATAAGCTTGCATGGAAATACAAACTTTGACAATCAAGATGAAGGAAAACAGGATGTCAGCGGCCTGGATTTTTCCATTAAATGGGATCGTCTCTGGAGGGTGTTTTCTCGCTGGATGATCCTAAATAAGCCATGAAAAACAGCCCTAAAAAATTGGCCTACTTTATACATATATTTTGAACAGCCCCAAAATAATGTGTGGCTACATCTAGAAAAATCAATTTTTTGGGGCAGAAGACATGTTTCTTCAGCACTTGATTCAGCTTCCCATCTTTGGAATGAGCATTTCAGGAATTTTTTTTTCATTGACGGTAAAATTGGACTAAAATGAGATTCAAAATATAAAATTAAAAACAGTTGGTCATTACCAAAAAAAGGACATTGCATCAAATAAAAAAAAAATCCCATTTTCTTAAAAATATATAATACTGCTGTTTTATCAAATGGAAAAAAATGAAAATCGTAATTATCATAGGGAAGGGTTATTCCTAGAAAATCTTCTAACAACCAAAACATTTGATGGATCCAGAACACAGGACAGATATTAATCAATAAAACTTTTAATAATTTAGCAACTGCAGAACACATGCAATCCTATATATGTATAAAACAAATCAATCTTATGCTCCAAAAACAAATAGCTCTGTGATATGGCCAGAGATTACGAAGAGAGAATACAAGCACGCTGCAGGACAAATAAACCAGCGCATTGCAGTTACAAAATGATAATATCAGACCACTGAGATAATCTATTAAAGTGCTATCTGCAACATATTCGACAGCAAATACGTAAGCTGTGCAACGAAACAGATAAGAAACTTACTTCCATTAAAATGATGAACGCCAACCTTTCCAAGCATCGCATAATACTCAATCTCAGACTTGCGGAGTGGAGGGCAGTTGTTTGCAATTATTACTAATTTCCCTATTAGAATGCAAAATCAGTGAGGCAATGATAAGAATTAGAAGTTCTTGTAATTCGTTGGCAGTGTAAACCCTCGCTAAACCAAACAAACAAAACTTGTAGATGCAACAGGACAAAAAATGTTTGCATACCCATATCATAACTTTTTTAGAACAATGTCTCGCTCTATTCACTAAACAACTAACATTATGTTCATGATTAGCAATGCAAAATGGACTACAAAGGCAATGAGGGCTTCAAGTGCCACAAAAGCAAGTTCCATCCAATAAAAATGAGAATCCAATTGTTTCCACTGTATTTTATTTAACATTAACCTTTTGTTATTTATCCATCTCTTATCCCACATTTATTTGGATAAAAGAAAAGGATCTGGTTGAAGAAGAAAACAAGGTGGAAGAGCTTAAGCAGAAACAAAGACTTTATAGCTTAGAAGATATAAGTAGAAAAAATGAATACTAATAAGTGTATGGTGAATGCAATGATTATTCATTTTCAACACCTTACCTTTAGAAAGAAATATAACAGGATCTGATAGACATGCTGTTTCTCACACTTACTACACTAGATCAGCATACTGTACTTCAATAACTTTAAACTACAAAGAAAACCAGGAATAACCAGGTTGTATATCTTGCTCTACAACGAAATCACCTAAATATCACTCCCTCAAATTTCTCGCCTATCTATACATCAGTGCTAGCAAATACCTTGCACAAAAAAGAGTACTAAATGTGCCATGAAGCATGGTTTTGCATTAAAATGTATTGTTAAATACATCAATCTACCTTCATATTGACATATCAAAGCAAGATAATGATAACATCTCCTAATTATGTTACAGTTTACTCCAATAAATCAATTATTTTTTTCAAAACATACTCCCAATCTTTCCTTAAACTCATCAGGCGTCATAACAGCTAGTTTCAATACTACATTAAGTTAATAAATGGTTTCCAGTAATACAAAAATAAAAATTAATTGAATTTCATTCAACAGTAAATTATGTGGTTCAACATATGTCTTAAACACATGAAAGGCCTCATATATGTAAGCAAGAGTCACTATATAGATCTTAGAAGCCCTTAATATGACCTGCTAACATTTCATGTGAAGATAGTTTGGTCAGATTATAAAAGGTCTCCTTCAAATAAATAGCAAATTAAATTGCAATATTCTATCATAAAAAATAATTATAGTAGATCACAAATTCACAATAATTAAAAAGATATTGGCAATGAATATTCTTTAATGAAACTTAGATAGATGTATGTTGGAATGACAAAATGAGTTTCCGGGTCGGGTTCGGGTCCAACCCGAAACTAATCCACCCTCAATTGATCCAACCCAAACCCTACATAATTACACAAATGGGTCAAAAATCTGAACCCGAACCCTAACTACCCCAAATATGGGTCAACACGACCCAACACAATGACCTGGGGCAAGCGAGCGTAGAGTAAGCGAGCGCGACGCGAGGTGCAGGGGTGAGTCGAGAGCGAGTCGCAAGCTAGCTGGGCAGCAGGCAGGATGCGCGAGCAGTACATGGGACGCATGGGCGGGAGCGAGACACGCGGCAGTGATGCAAGGACATGTGGGCAGGTTAAGCCGAAGGGATGTAATGCGATCGTGCGAGCAACAGGCGGGACGCATGGGTTTGCCAAGCGCAGCTCACGACACAATGCGAGTAGGGTCTGCCACCGACAGTGCGGGCGAAGCAGTCTGTGCAGGACCGCGGGTGGGAGTGTCAAGCTCATACAGTATGGGTCAAATATGACACAAATTTTGGTTAACAGGTCGACCCGAACCCGACCTGATTTTTCAAACAGGTTGAAATTTGGAACACAAACTCGACCCGTTCGTTAAATGGATCAGCCCAAACCCAAGCTTTTCGGGTTGAGTTAGGCTCTGGTCAAAAATTGACACCCAAAGATGTATGACAGTTTATGTTTTTGCTTGATTTATTTAAAGCTTAAAATGCTAGGTAAAAAAAAATTAATATGTCAAAGAATAGAAATATAAATATATTTATTTGATAAAATATTAGAAATATATTTATTTTAAAACTATTTTTAACAATAACTTTTATGGTTATGATAAATTATTGGTTTGAATTTTAATTGGATGGCCTTAGTGTTTACTTGTCATTAGGAATTTTTGTTAAAGCCATATTAATTAAAAACTAAGTTATGGTTGTGTAATTAAACGCTTGAGCTTTAATGAGAAGTTCAATTTTTTTTTTTCGTGTTCATGTAAATTTCAATTAAGATCCTTACAATAGAATGGTAAGATTCAATAGATGAAACTTAAGGGATTAAAGTGTATATTTAATGAGGCTCTTTCATTTTTGGGATTTCAAACAACTTTCTAGTATCAGAATACATTATACAAAGACCTTAATGAAAAAAAAGTATTGTTATAAGTAGAGAGACAGCACAAAACCTACCATATTCTTCTAAAATTTTGAGAAATTCACATAAAAAAAGAGCAAGCACCCCTTTATCTACAAGCATTATGTCTTGCCCTTTTCTTTTTCTTTTCAAAGGAAATTAATAACTCCACTAGAATAAAGATCCAAATTAAACTTCAAACATATATAAGAGGCTAAATCTTGGAAGTCATGCATAGGTTTGGGTTAAATCTCAGGATGCACAACTTAGTCATGCAACAAATTTTATCAGGAGACCAATAATATTCTTATATAATCATTTTAGGTATCATTAATCTCTCACTAGTGGGTAACCATGCTTCCTTAAGAAGGCAACACAGCGATTTCGATACAAATTTACCTAAATATTGAACTGAGTAAGATGCCACACATTTTAGCAATAAGAATCAGATCTAGAAGTTCTACAAAATAACTATTCCTACAATGCACAGAGCACACTCTGGTTACTCATTTCCAGCTATCATTTTTCCCCTTAAAGGTAAAGAGCTATAATTTAACAAATAGATTAAAAAAAACACTGTACCAGAACTAAATGATCAAGCATTTTAGGAAAGAATCATTAATTTCCTTTAACTATAAAGGCAATAAAGTTGAGATAAAGAGAGAAGTCAGCATCAATCCTTAACTCGCGCAATGATTCCTGAGATTCTTAGAACATAAACTTAAGGATTTGTTTTGGTTAAACGAAACCAATGGAAATGAAATGAAATCCTAATTAACTATGTGAAAATTATAAATATATACAAACATTGCTCTGAATTTTCATATTTTGCTGTCATTTTCTTGTAAAATTCCCACCGTCCAAACATGGTACCATTTCACGCCCCAATTAAGCAAAAGAATGAAATGTTTCAAAACAGTTCATAGAAAACAGACAACGAGGCGCAGAGATACGCTACCCTTGGAATTTCTAAGAGATCTGAGAACGGTCTTGTAACCGAGAGTATACTTCCCGCTCTTCATCACCAGGGCAAGCCTATTATTAATGCTCTCCGTAGACTTCTTCTGCATCAAATAAAACGGAAGGAAGATCCACCATTAAATTAAGCAAAAATAGATCATCGAACATCAAATAATTGTCAGTGGTAAAATCTAAGCCTTATTAAGTCCAAGAAACTAGGATAATACCGCTTTCTTAACGGGCGCCATGGCTGTGATTCTTTGCACGTAACAAGAAAACAGTGCCCCCTCTCTCCCTCCCTCGTCGTCGGCACTAAACAAAACCCTAAGCTGCAGAGCGCATCTTTTATACGAGAGGAATGTGTTGATGCTAAATGACGGAATTACCATTGACTCGTGGATCGATAGCTAATATATACGTATATAACACAAATTTTAAAATATATTCATTAATTTTCATATCTATCATAATATAATTTGGATCACTATATTTTGTACATTTTTTTTTCAAGTATTTGATAGATTTTTTTTTTAATTCTTTAAAAGAACATGATCATATTTATTAGTGCTTAATTTTAAAGTTATTTTTTTAAAAAATAAAAAGTTAATTGATTTATATATTTTAAATTTCTTAATAAGAGATTTGAACACAAGTAAAAAATTTTACATAAAAATTTCAAAATAAATAGAAACTTAAAAAATTATTTATAAAATTAAAATAAAAATTTTATTCAAATGATTTTTTTCAAAAATGAATATTTATTTGAAAAAAAATTAAAACTAGAGAACTTTCAGCTATTTTTCAAATTTTAATAAATTTAACAATTATTTAATACCTCACTTCACAAAAAAAATTTAATTATCATATTAAAATTTTCATATATTTAAAAAAAAAAACCAATTCACCTTCTCTTGGGTGTGCCATACACTACAATTGATATCAGAACCAAGTTACTTGTTAGATAGGTTTCACCACCTCATGCTAATCTAATTATGGCATAATTAGGAAATAGAAATATCGTTGGAATTGAAGGATGTTCAACTACCCGACAGTTATTGTTTTATAATATCTCTTTTGATTTTTTAAAATCATGTATAACAATATTTATACAGCATATTAATTATCGGATGTGAAATTTAGTACAAGCATGATCTGAATTATAACACCGTAAAATCTAATGGAAGAATTTATCCTATACTAACAAATTTCTTAATCCCCAATTTTATTATTTGCTTCCAGAGCCATCTAATCATCCAAAAATAAAATAAAATAAACATCCATAATATACACAAAACTCTTCTTTAAATTTTCATTACATCCAGAGTTCTCAAAAGTATAGTTCATAATACACTAATTTTAAGAAATTGTTTACGTAAATTATGAACTAACAAAAAATATATATTTTACTGACCCAAAACTCATGCTCCCAATCAAAACCAACTTACTTGATAAGGCCCTTATTGAATCTTGATTAGGTTGTTAAACCTAAACTAATGTCTCAAGGCTAACCAAGAGGGGGTGAATTAGTAATTTAAAAATTTCTCTTGAATTTTAAATTTGTAAATCGTTGATTCTTGTAGTAAGTTAATTAAAATTTTAAAATAACTTTTCAACCACAGAAAAATAACTAGTAGTAAATAAATGCAGAAATTAAAAGACATAAAAAAGTTATAGTGGTTCGGTCAAATACGACCTACATCCACTCCCTGAAGACTCCCTCTTCAGGTATTGAACTATTACCAAAGTGTCTCTCCTTTTACCCCCATAGCAAGGCGGAGAAGCCTTTACAAATCCTCTCTTTCACCAATACTTGGTGCGACAGAGAATCGTCATCCTTTCACACTCTCCAAGTTTCGGCAGAGAACCGTCATCTGTTCACACTCTCCAAGTGTCGGCAGAGAACCGTCATCTGTTCATACTCTCCAAGTGTTGGCAGAGTACCGAATCTTCTTCAAAGATCTTCTCACGAGCAACTAGAAAGACAAGAAGAAGAGTGATAACCAAAATCAAAAAGAAATTCTTACCTTTGAGTAACCTTGTGAACCCTTCACACTCCACTTGTAAAAAATTTCTCTCAAACACTCTCTTACACTCTCTCTTTCAATTGCCCTTGAAAAATCACGAAGACTAGATTTTTTTCATATCAGTTTTAGTGGATCTTTTATATCAAAGACATGAAAAACCATCCAGAAAATCAAAATTTTCCATTTTAAGCGTACACGATCGTACAGTACGATTGTATGTTCATACGTACAAACAGTTCAAAAACTATTGCGTATGAACCTATTGCGAATCAGTATGAAATGATTTTGTACATGATGATCATCTGGTATAAACTAAGTTAATTCGTCTGGTACAAATAGTTAGAAAATTTTTCACTTTCATCGGTACGAAAAGGGACCCCATAATTTCATACATATATGGCATATATACGATGACGACATCGTACGATATTATTAGTTATGAAAATTTTCAAGATCGTCGGGACGAAAAGGGACACGTCCAATTTGTACTATGGACGACATAAGTACGATGATGACATCGTACGATACAAACCATTTAGAAAATTTTCACGTTCATTTGGATGAAAAATCGGGACGGAAAGGTGCCCGTTCAATTCGTACTCTGGAAGGTTTTTACTAATGGTATATCATACAATACGATCTTTACTTAGAAAAACTTTCTACTTCTATTCGTTTGATTACTCGTAGGGAAAAATAACTGAACAAATCGTCCCATATGAAATGACTTCATACAGTACGATTAGTTTAAAAAATTACAAATTTTAAACTTTCCCCCGATGTGTGTGTGTACAGTTACTCAATTATAATCACACTATCTCAGACTCAATAAAAAGAAAATTACATACTTCATTTATAATAAATCCTAAACTGATCTGATTTGAAGTCTTCAATAATCTGATGTATGATTTCCCTAAAATATCAGTACACATAAATAATAAAATAATATATCCAAAATATTTTAGGAGAAATAATAATCAAAGTAATATTATTTGGAATCATAAAAAATATACATGATGTAAGAATATTAACAATCAAGAACTAAGATACAACTATCTCAATAATCTTCCCTTTCTTGATGATGACAAAATAATTATTATTTGAGTAAAATTAAATACCCTAAATTTCTCATTAGCTCCCCCTGAAAGAATAAACATGTGAATATAAGGGAATTCCTTGAAGAACATAATTTTTTTTATTTTCCACAAATGACAAAAATAAAAACACAAACAAAATGATAAAAACATAAAAACACAAAATAAAATCAATCACCAAACAATATTACTCCTCCTTTTGATAATAATAAAAAGTGAAAAGAAAAGTTGAAATGGAAGAATTCATATGAGAAACCTTAATAAGTGATCTTGAAAGGGATTGAAATAGAATTACAATAAAATTTTAATTATAATTAGATGAAAAATAAAGATTCAAAAGTATTTAAATGAAAGTATAACTAAGATAAGAAAAATTCATCAAGATCATGAAGTATTATAGCTAATTAGATAAGAAGAATTATTACAAAAGTGACGAAATGAAGATTAATTAAGTTCATTTTTTAATAAAAAATATAATTGATCATTAGATTGATTTGAATTTGAAGATTAAATGGTAGAGAAAAGAACATATTAAATTGGCGATATTGCACATCTTTTCAAATATTTGTGACACATTTTGTGCATCTTTTTGTATTTGGGTTAATTTTATGCCAGCAAAAGCAACAAATCAAAAACAAGACATTTTTTTATTGATATCAATTTAAAGATCAAATACATTCAAGCTCTTTTATATCAATTCAAAATAAAAAAGATAACATAATATCAACAACATCAACATAAAATCTAAATAATAACATGTACACAAAACACTGAAATCATCACTGAAAAACATCATATCTAGAGAGGACAGGCAAAGTTAACACAAAATAAGTACATCTAGAACTCTGAGGGACCCTAGTCTAGAGGAGGAGGCTGGTTGAAGATAGAGAAATAACTTTTCATCATAGCTACGTCAGTATTCACTTATTTGAACTGACATCTGATCCAACCCATATCTTGTTGGTACTATGCATCTTGCTGATTTTGGTGAGTTTAAATTTGATCAAAATGTTAATCAAAATGACACTTTAATTGGTCAAAGTGCTGGACCATCTCCTGAAAGTCAGGTCTATGAGCAGGTGCAGGTGCTCCACCTTCTTGCTCAGTATCCTTACTTGAATTATCATTCTTCCCAAAGAGTGCTCGAAAAGAGGCATTAGTGAAGTAGATTAACATTTCAAGTGGAATCTTAGGATGAATAATGTTGTATTTCTTTTCTAAGACATATGTCACTAGATATCCTAAAATAATATTTTTCTTCCTCCTATGAGAAACATGCCCAATTTTAGAAAGGTTATGAATGTAATATAGAATGAGTTGGGCTTCATCTATTAGTTATCCATCCATCATTAGATAGGTAACAGTGGATAGAAGATGAGTAATATTTATATGATCACTAGCTTTAGAAATGATTGAAGTTCTAAGGACATGTTAGATGATCCTGGCATTTTGATTTAAAGTATAAACCCTAGCCAAGTGACCAACTTGAACAACCCCTATGAGAACTTTATTTATTTTAGATAAATCAAAGTTAGATTTGGAGGTCATAGTGTGTGCTCTAATTCTCTGAGTCCTTAGTTGTAGATATGTTCATAGATCTTCCTAAGTGATCTCTACCCTTTTCTTTTAGATAAATAATCTTATCCTACTCTCATTCTCACTAAAATGTTCACTAAAAAAATAGTGAAAGGTCTCCTTATGATAAGCATGGATCAAATTCAAAATAAAGATGAATTGAGTTGAAACAAAAAGAGGCATGACTTGAAAGTGGATATTTTTTTGGAGTAAGAGTCTAAACGGAGTGATTTTTGCAGTTATAAACCTATAGTAAGAATCCTCATTTGTTCTAGATAGAAAGTTTTCATCTCCACCCCTGGAAGACGAACCCATAGAGACTCTACTGCGCTTGCTAAAATTGGCCATTTCTAAGATGAGAAGGATTGAAAGAGATTGTTGAAGTGAATGAAAATGAATTCTAAAACCATCCTATTTAAAGAAAAATGATCTTTCGTATGTACGAAAATGGATTTGTACAGTACGATAATTATTTCGTACATGACCAAAATAATTTTGTATGTACGAACGATAACATCCAAAATGAAATGACTTTTCATAATCACGCAAGTTACGAAGTATCCTTTCGTACAAGCTTTTTAACCAGACGATCATACAGACAAACAAGTGTTTGTACGGGACGATCTGTTATTTAAGATCATTTTAATGATGGTTGGGTTCGTACCCCACATCAAATAACATGT